TCCGGTCGACAAATCCTACAAAAATAAACGTACCTAAACGTCACTTTCACTTCCGCCTTTCAGCAGAATAGATGCGTAATGATTTTCCAGTCAAAAAATAAACCGGCCCTGGATTATGCAAATGCTAACGCTAATACAGATAATAAAAACCCATAGTTTAAAATTTATTATCTGAAGCCTGAATTGACTGTTTTAACTATCACGTGAGGAACTATTTTCTTTCTCTTGGGGGTCGCTTTCCCTTACTCTCTATACGCGTTTGCGCACGCATACATACAGTGTAATATACGCATGCGCACCAAAGCAAAAGCGCGTTTATCTCGGTTTCGTAAAACACGCCTTTCTCCATTTTGCATTTTCTGTGACTGAAGGTCAGCGAAAGCGTCCACCCACCCAGATGCATATCAGGCTTCGAAAATAAATCTCACCCAGTTGACATTTACAAAATAAGTGTCCATATTATTATGAAATTCATCATCATATTTTGCGGTGCGAGTTTAATCAGAGTTCGATTCCAGCAAAAGTAGTATAGTTTAACGTACCAAAGCATATAGCAAGAAGACCATTGCTGTTTTTAAATAATTTCACACCAAGAAAGGCAATAAAGCCACTAAGATGCACGGGGGTTACTGAGTGAAACGAATATGGGAAAAAGAAACAACATTATTAAGGAGAAAGAACAATAAAAAAACAGGAATTACGAAGACAGAAATAACGATTGTCATTGCATTTCCATTTTTAAAGATCAAATTTAATTGGAAATCAAGAGATCAGAAGAGAGTTCCTCAAACGAGAAGTGGAGGAGAAGAAACTGTTATCATGGAACTTGCGGTTACATCTAGCAATTTGAACTGTAAAATGATGAGACCTAGCTGCCAATCTAGTAGTGCGCTTAGAGACCAAAGAGGAAAGCTCATCAGAACAATTACGATTCATAGAAAAGATATAGAGAAGTTAGATTACGGCAGTGGGAGAATGACTGAAGCCCAGATGCCAGGTCAGGACTGACAACATTGCAGAGTCGTCTTTGAATTTCAAGAATCTCTAAGTACATAGAACACACACCAGACCAAATGTGACAGCAATATCCAATGCATAGACAAATACCATACACAGACCCAACCACAGGCATAGTGGTATACCATATGTTATAATTCTCGCTCGCATTTAGTATTTGTGGATGGGACGTTAGAAAAAGTCCTGTTAAGTTTAGGATATTGTTAAACCTACAAGGAATAATTAAAAGAAACTCTTATATTAGATTGCGTCATTAAGTAAGTTCCGTTTTTGAGAAACAATTTACCCCTGGGAAAGGTATGAATACCTTTCCTCCAAATATGGGTTAAATAGTATGAGTTGTATCTGTAAAAATCATTGTTAATCTGAAACTTGTTACTGACATAATCATTCGACAAAAAGTATCCCTCTTATAACCCAAAACGGCAGGAGATTTGAACTGGTTTGGACCGACTCGACTATGGGTTGCGTCGATGATCAAGCAAAGTTGAATAGTATCTTGTAAACGCAAATCTTTCCCAGAATTTCGAAACACTCATATCTACTCAGTTTAGTATCGTAACGTAAATAAAGCAATTTCTAAAGGAGTGACAGATTGAAATGTTATTCTGTTGCAACCTTATCGTAAAGGCCGGTTGTAGGGAAGCGAACAGATGTGAGTTGTGGTGAAGAGGATAACAGTCTAAATGGCGGTCCACTGGTTTAAGCTGCTAGTGGCCACTGTCTTATAGAGGCAAGCTTTCTTTGTCCAGTTAACTTTCATCTGAAAAAGTAATTTCAGCGTTCTTAGTCATCTCCACTCAGCTGACTCACTCAGTCAGGGTCGATGACCCGGTTCTTTTGAGCTCCGCTCCACTCCGCTGACTTTTTTTTTGCCAAGATGATAATTGTCAAAACGATTTCTGTAACATCCTGCAGATGTGTTCTTTAATAAGATATCAGCTGACAACTGATATCGCTACACATCGTACACAATTATGATTTTGCTTTTTTACGTGCTGATCAATTTACATTTGTGATGAAACAACTGGATGTGTGTGTCAACAAGCCGTTTAAAGATTTCATTCGAGAACAGTGGGACGAGTCGATGGTTATCGGGAAAAAGTCATTCAGGTTACCGTAATAGCCTACCGAAAGCACAACACTCATTCATGAGGCATTGTAAATTATGGTAGTTAATTTACAATATCTTCTACCGTTTTTTTTTCATTAGAATTTAACTGAAAAGAAAGTATATGCTTACTGAATTTATTTAATAACTTCAATTTATTTTAAAATAAGTTTGTACGGCGAATATATCCTGAAAACTACATTTTAACTTGATAATTTGGGCGTCGTCTTATACGTCCGGTCGCCTTGTACGCCAGCATAAATGGTATTATCAAAACGCTTTCTCAATAAGCCTGTGATTTCTCATCTAAAAATCAACTAGCAAAGTGTCCACTTCATCTCAGAAAATTGTCGCCATAAACTTTCCCCTTGATCGCTTTGTTTTGATTTGTCTTGAACCTTTCGTCTTTTGGATAATCATTGCTTTGTCTGGATTCTGTCTTCTGGATCGCACTGGTCAAACAAAATTGCATCTTCCGTTATAATTCGCCTCAGAAAGCATTGCTGATGTTGATCCCTTTTGTTTAAAACTTCGATTGAAAGCGCGGCTCTTGTCTCTTGCTGATCTGGACGCAAAAGTTTTGTTACCTACTCGCTTTCACAACTATAAGTTTTAAACAGGAGTAGATAGATTCGCCTTATCTCAGGGTTCACACTCCTTTCTGGTCTTTTGAACACGAGGCTTACGGCCAAATCACGTTGAAACACCGATGTTAACGACAGTACCTAGAGGGCTGGCCGCTTGGGAATGTATCTGGGATGTATGTGTGGTATATTGGATAATGGCTCGAAATTCTTAATCGGAGAGACGAGTTCCAATACCAGTGGGATTCGTTAAATTCTTTTAAGTACAAAACCCTCGAGAAAGGCATGAATCCACATAGTCTTCCCTATCCAGCTATGGTGTCATTACTAAGATTTCTATCAATAAATGATTATCATCTCCATAAAAATTCTTACAATCTAAAGATATTTTCTGGCTTTAAATAACCTGCAAAGATTTGATAAGCCGTAGAGAATGAATGAATCAATCAATTTTGAACAAGAGTAGAGCTTTATCCTTTATTTCCTGTTTAGGATTGGGTTTCCGGTTCCTTGTAAGTTCTTGTTTTTTTTTCACTCTTAGTTTATAAAAGAAAACTTATATTTCTTGAACTGCACACACAATACAGCAATAACAAAAATAACTACTCTTCAATCATTTTGACCCAAATCAATTAGCACACAGAAGTTAGGCCAATTAAATTTCACGCCAAAAGAATCGGCATAAAATTCAGAGCTTCAGAATGCAGACAAAAATTCTTTGTAGATGTCTGACCCTGAAAGAACTAGAGTACCCCAGACTATTATCTGTAATTACAATACAAAAGCGTATAAAAGGCGTATACATACTCTGTCATGAAGAAAACTAGTAAGTTTTATACCCATACAGATTGACCTAGCCTCAATTACATCCCGAATATACATCGGTCTAACTTAGAACAAGCCGAGGTGGGATATCTTGGGCTGTTAATGGAGATCAAGACGTAAATGCACCAGAAAGTATGGTTATTTTCTTTCAAGTTGTAAATACACTTTAAAGAAGTTAAAATTGACGCAGACAAATACAGAGAGTCAGTAAACCTTATTTGAAGTATTTCTCACACTCACAGACACATACACATATACATAGATACATTCATACGCTGGAGTAGTGGTTAGCGGTTTGGATTGAGGAATCGGAGAACCGAGCTCGAATTCCAGTCGAAGCCATTATATTCACTTACTTGCTAATACCCTTAGGAAAGGTATGAAACCTATTCTTCTCCCCCCAGCTATGGGTTAATAGTAGGACAGACCGGGTTCTGTAGCTTTGAATGGCACCTGGTCTAGGAGAAGGAAAACTCTGAATTCAAAACCTGCGGAGGGTCGTTGATGGGACCTTGTGGTACAAAGTGCACCAGGTCTCTGTATTCGTTCCTTAAAAAATATCTGTATGGTTCTGCACAAAACCTTCACCGCTATGTGCTCGTGACGGGCTGTTGGTTCCTAGGAACTTATCTGCTTGACCCTCACACATCGAATTCGACGGGAGAGTTGAGTTTATATATATATATATATATATATATGTGTGTGTGTGTGTGTGTGCGGATATGTATCATAAAGCTATTAACAAGAAAGCTATTGTTTTATAAAAAGGCACCTAACAACTGGGAAAATGACATCAATAGTGAAGCCAAGAAAATAGCCAGTGAATTAAAAATTGAGGATAGGATATAAAAATTCCACAAACTTTCATCACAGTTAAAGACCACAAGGCAAATTTCTCAAACAACCCTCAATAACGATTGCTTAGTCCAACTAAATATGATATCGGTAAAATCAGCAAATTTACAATTGAAAGAGCATGCAAATACATAAATAAATATCCGAGAAATTTCCAAGAAAATATGTGTCCTCCGACAGGAATCCTGTTTATTATAAAGAGAGCATTTACTGAAATATTTGCATGTAGAAAAATATAAACATATATTGTATATAATATATATATATATATATATATATATATATATATATATATATATATATATATCAGTCCATCTGGTACACACACACACACACGCACGCAACACACAAACACACACACACACACACGAAACAGAGTAGAAACAAGATAAATCAACGTTTATTCTTATTCATGTCTACTTGTCTCTAAGTCTCTCTGCATATATATATATATATATATATATATATATATATATATATATAAAGGAAGTTTAATACCCCATTTGTATGGCCATTTCCCGCAAGAAAATTCATCTTCCGAGGTTCATCAACACTAAGGCTTTGAAGATAAAATAAAATAAAAAAGGAATTTTAAAGATTTTTAAAACTTTAAAGAAACAAGAAGGAAAAGCAAGGCAAGGACGACAAAGTAAAAGAAAAAAATTAAAAGGAAGGAAAAGAATAAAGAACGAGGAAAAATGAGAAAAAAAAATTAGAGAGGTCATAAAGAAAAGGAAGGGAATAAAATACACTAGAGATGCATAAACCCGTTTAGACAAACTTAAATAGTTGGAAATTTGACACTACTTAAAGGAACCTTGAGTTATACCTTAACTGGTGTTAAATTTCCAACTGTGTTTAAGGTTGTCTAGACGTGTTTATGCATCTCTAGTGTATTAAGAACATAAGTTAGGCAGATGACACAGAATTGATAGCAGATGTGGAAAAGAAATTTCAAAATCTTCTAAAGAAGGTGGCAATGGAGAGTGTGAAGAAGGGACTAAGCATAAACTACAAGAAAACAGAATGCATGGTCAACAGTAAAAGGATGAGCCCAAAATGCAATTTGCAGGGCGGGAACACTAGAATCAAGCAGTCTCGGAAGTTTAAATGATCTCGAAAGCATTCTGACAGAGGACGGTAAATGCGACACTGAGATCCGTAGACGTATTGGTATGGCCAAAGACGCATTCCAAAAGTTGGACAGAGTACTGCGAGACAGGAGGATTTCTTTGGTAACTAAGAAAAGAATACTGAGCTGTTACGTGGCGTCCTTCTTTACCGCAACGAAAGTTGGACGATTTCCTAAAAGATGAAGAAGAGACTCGAGGTAACGGAGATGTGTTTCTACAGAAGGATGATGAGGATATCATGGACCGAGCGTGTGACGTCTTACAGAGGTTGCAAACAAAGAGGAGGCTTATACATAACATCTGGAAGAGGCAGCTGTAGTTTCTGGGACACATAACGAGGAAGGAGGGCCTGGAGAATCTGATACACACGGGTCGAATAGAGGAAAAAAGTGACAAGGGAAAACAACGCGTGACAAACTTGGCGGGCTTAAAAAGAAGGAAGGTAGCAGAAGGAAGGAACTTGAACTGCAAACGATAGATGGAAGTGAAGAGCCATGATCGCCTACGTCCTGTAAAGGACACCGCACATAGAAAGAAGTGTATTTCATTTCATCCCCTTTCTTTTTTCCCCTCTCTCTATTTTTTTTTCTCTCCTTTTCTTCCCTTTTTATTCTCTTTCCTCGTTTTGATTTTTTCTCTTACTGTGTCGTCTTTGCCTTCCTCTACCATCCTGTTTCTTTAAGGTTTTTAAAATCTTTAAATTTGGTATTAATGGTGTATTAACGATGGAGTATTAAATTTCCTTTATATGTAATTTATTTATATTGTTATGTAATAAATATATTGAGCTCTCTTTGTGTTTCAGTTTTAATATTTTATATTATTAAGATTCACTTGGACTACTTACCCACGGATTTTTACACACACACACACACACACATATTTATATATATAGTGAGAGAGAGGGGGAGAGAGAGAGATGGTGTGAGGATGCGTGGGCTAAATTGTTACCATTTTATATTTTAATTTTAAAATCCGCGTTGTTTGTTTTTGATTTTGTTGACTGCACTTGCTGATCGCTGGCAGAAGAGAGACGGATGGACTTTATTTTGAAGAATAAATGTTGGTGTTTTGTAGCTTTCTTTCCGTTTCCTAAATCAGTCAGGGTGTTCTAGGCCAACCTAATATATATATATATATATATATATATATATATATATATATATATATATATATAGAGAGAGAGAGAGAGAGAGAGTGAGAGAGAGAGTGAGAGAGAGAGACAGACAGACAGAGAGACAGAGACAGAGAGAGACAGACAGAAAGAGAGAGAGGTGGGAAGAAAGAGTGATATAGACAGAAATCACTGCTTTTTCGTTTATCATATTGGTATCCGAAATTCTTGAATTTCATTGTACAGACTCGTTGTAATTTTTTTCAGCGATGTGAAACCTTTTCTAAATCATTCTGAATACCAGTTGTTATTGCTGAATGTAGATTTGTCGTATTTTCCCATACAACCACTTAAAGCAGAGAAAAAGAAAACCTAATTTAGATCCGAAAGAATCCTGCAAGTTCACTCAAGCTCCATATTGAATAATAATCACCATTTGAACCGAACACTTTATTCACTTTAGATATTTCTCATTCTGCTTTCCATGCTGAGCGGATATATCATATCAGTCAATATTCACCAGTCGTATACACCTTTGAGTGGCTTATCCGTTTCTTACATCAAGCCAGACCATGTGACTTCTACCTGAACAAGGGAAGCACTATGAACCATTTGCCCGGGAATGAGATATGTTGAGACCAGAGGTGTAATTTTCTAACATTATATTTAATCTCTGTTCTGAGATAGTGGGATTTATAAACTTTTCTTTAACAGCTTCTCTGTTGTTTAGATCTATGCTAACTCTACTGACGTAGTTGTCACTTCCTAATTGTTTTCAGTCATTTTTTTATCCGTCTGTCTGGTTCTCAGTCTACTAATGGTATCCTATTCCAAAGGGTTTCATGAGCACCCTATGCGTTCTAAATTTGACCAGCCATGCCCAATTTCAATGCCTCTCCACGGATTTCAACCTTTATGAGCGTCCTTTCTTGATCAGATTCTCTGGTGTATATATATATATATATATATATATATATATATATATATATATATATATATATATGCTCGGTCTACTAAGGTAGTTGTCATGATAAAGATCAATTTCCACGGACTTCAAACATTTCCAGGATAAAATATTATTGATAAATGCTTTTTGACTGCAGTTATGCACGAAATATCTTTTGATATCGATTTTTTTTTACAAAATGTTGATTTCCCAGCTATCTGAGAAAATAAATAAATTCAAAAAATAGAAAATTAAAAAAAATATTTCTTACCTCGAATTTTTTCTTGAAAAATTTCACTCTCATACAACAAAGTTTAATAAATGTCTGCAAAGAGAAATAAAAAAAGTTCTTGTTAGAAAAAAACGTCATATCTGTTTCTTTTTTTCTAATTTTTGTCAATTATTATTATTACTATTATTATTATTATTAGGCTCATCATTAGTTTGCATCTCTGAAAATGATATACACAGGTTCCATTTTATTATTAATTGTCAATTAAAATGACTTCTTATGTAAAGTAGTGGAATGTTTTCCCATTGCCTTTACCACGGTTCTTCGTATAGACGAATTGTAACGTTTCTTCGGGACGTACATGATCATGGCTCTTCGCACATTCCTTTTCTTTATTATCTGCGAATTTCCAAGAATTTTTATAAAATATACTCGAGTGTTTTCCTGCTGCATTCTCAACAGTTTTAAATTCAGTCTAGTCCTTCTCGTAACACTGACGTCCTCCCTATGCTAAAGCAACCAGCCTGCCTTGCTATTTAACCCATAGCTGGCGAGAAAAGAGATGTATTCACAGCTTTCACAAGAGAATTAGTGTGAAAGCGAACAAAGCGAGTGAGTGAAGGAAGTGAAGGACTCGACCGAAATTTGAACTCGTCTCTTCGATTTGATATTCGGCATTGATAATCGTTATATTACCAGCAAATCCTGAAGTATATTACATAACAGTTAACCTATTTATTCATTCAAAACGTATATATATATATATATATATATATATATATATATATATATATATATATATATATATAGTGAACATAAAGTCAACACTTAGAGGCGACAGTCTGTTTCATGTTAGATGCAATCGTCAGGAGCACTCGTGGCCTGACGATTGCATCTAGCATGAAACAGACTGTCGCCTCTAAGTGTTGACTTCTATGTTTACTTTTTATATTTTCACACGCTCTATCTCTGATATTGAGCACTTTATCCCATAATAATAGCACATCTTAAAACTATATTTCTTCATATATATATATATATATATATATATATATATTCATACACGTTTCATTAAATAATAGAGACAAGTGTTGTCTATTTATTTTATGTAAATTCTTTTCATAACGTCTAATAAGTTTAATAACATTATCATTGAACGAAGAAAGAAATTCACAATATTGATCCATATTTTTTAATGCCATCTAAGCTTTCGGCATACATAAGCCATTATCAAAGATGTCAATTACAACATATTAAGCAATATACGGACAAGACAGTGATAACAGTCTGCGAATGTTTACATAGATGATCTATATTTTTTAATGAAACGTGTATGAATGAAAAGATGCCGCCTAAATACACACACAATATATATATGCACTAAAGAGCAAAAGTTTGGAACCACCCACCAGAATTAGCATGGGATGAACTTGACAGAAGAATGAAAAAAAAAAATTAAAAAGAGCCCCGACAGTTAAGGAAAAAAAAATGGAATCAATTATCAAACACATACTCGGAGAAACATTTCCGATGAATGCCAAAAATGTGTGCTGCAGTAATCAATGCTGAAGGAGGATATTTTGACGAGACCAAAATTTAATCATAAAATGCTTTTTTCTAATAAAAATCATGTCTCAATTTTTTAACTATTTAATCATTTTCTCTTATATTTGGGCAAATATAGAAAGTAACAAAAGTGGTCTCAAACTTTTGAACTGTATATATATATATATATATATATATATATATATATATATATGGTTGCTCAATTCTTTGAGTACACGTATTTTTAATAGCTATAACTTTTTCTAACCTGTTCTGATATCATTTCCTTCTAGATCAATGATTACAACATCAAGATAAATGAGCAAATTAAAAGGCACGCAGAATTCTTTGCTTTAAAGGCAGAGCATAGTTATTTAGAGATTGCTCGTTTCCTGAATCTACACGGTCGTTTATTGTCAAAGTTCGCAACTTGATGTCTGACGTGGATTCTACAGTAAAACGCCCGTAAATTGGCTGTAATACCGTCAAAGACAAAACATTTCTATGAAAGCTGCAGAAAATTACCTATAACGACCATAGAAAGTCAATTCAGGCTATCGCTAAGGAGTTCAACTTTTAAAGGCACTCTGTCTGAAGAGTTGTGCATGGGGACCTTCAATACAAGACATGTTTGATGCGGAGAGGCAAATTCTTGTCTGTAAAGAAAAAATATACCTGTCTGATTCGCGCAAAGCACTTGTTGAACAAGTTAAAACTTGAAGAGCCTGGAATGATAAAGAGAAAATCATTCCAGG